AAGACTTCTTGTGAGAAGATCTGGCCTTGGGAGGCTCTGGAGGCAGATTTCGCTTTGACACCTTCCGAAGTGTCGATTCGATCTCTTGGCCGTAATTTGCGCACCATTTCTTCGACTCGTAAGTCGCTGACGGCATCTGTTCGGAGCAGTGGTCTGCCCACCATGGTCCGATGCTCTTGAGCTCATCGTATTGCGATGATACCCAGAGTGGTTCAGAGGGTGCGAATACGGCGCTAAGAGTACGGGCATGCACTACCTCTGGTGTAGCAAACATCCCTGCTTGCGACTGCCACATGTTTGTGACTTCGTTCACTACGTTATTTGCGTCGAATACTAGAAGCAGTGCCTTGTTGGCACGCAACAGGTCGGATTAGGATTCGCCAGGTCTAGCGTTGAAAACTGAACAGTGTCCCTGTTGGAACGACTGTTTTCATTCACGAGAGCTTGAAGACCTGGTGATGTAACCACCTGCGATAGGAGGTTTGATGGTACCAGACCGTGCCTCAGGATTGAGGATAATGCCTGTAGGTCCGTGGCATGCATGATGTAACAAGGGTTGTTCTGTCGAACAAAATCCTCCATGCCTACGGGTCTCGGCGCGTTAGTGGAGAGACGCTGTGCACGGGACTGCACTGGATTGCTGCCCGTTGCCATGAAGTCTGAGATGGTCATGTGTGACCTTGGCCTCTCTTCTTCAGGATCTGGTTCTTCAACTCTTGGTAGAGTTCGTCGTGAACCGTGTCCTCCCACTGCCGAGAGGAAAACTTTGGTCATGGTCAGCACATTTGCATCCGGTGGGATGGTAACGGCGGCATCTGTGGTTTCGGCCTTGCCATCTTGGTTATAAACCATAGTGACCACGAACCTGGACTTAGTGTTGAGGAGGACACCAAGCGCGATCTCTTGTGGTGTATACTGTGCGAGCTCTGCATCGGCCAACTTGGACATGTCCAGAAGATAATTGTGTTGGCCAGCAAAGAGATCTGGGCGCTGGTTCTGAAGGTGTCTTGTTGAGTGTGCCAACCACCTTCCGACTCTGTTGGTCTTGGAAAGAATGTGGAAGCACATCTCTGGTGAGAGACCTGTTACCTCTGCCAGTCTTGGCACTGAGGAGGAATAGTCATATTCTCCGGATGCATCAAGACTCACACATTGTTTTACCTCCTGTGGGAGGCCTGTCTGAAGGTGATGTGCAAGCATCGTACAAAACTGGCGTGGATCACGAGCGTGATTACCCACGTTGTTATCCCAGTATAAAAGGGGACTGTTGTCCCATGGTCCTTGAAGGACTCCTTCGTAGAGCCTGACTCCATGTCTGGAGATTGGAGTGAGCCTTGCTCGACTCGCATGGCCACATCGTGAGATCAGTTCAGCAAGATCTCTTGGATGCGGATTGAACACCTGTTGGTGACCCATGTAAATGTATGGAGGCTCGTGATTTTTCTCACGTTTGTGAAATCGGTGTCCACCGTGTTCGGTGTGTCGACGTGATGCTTCCCGACGAGACTCGGGGTACGAGCTATCCATGTGTGGATGTCGCTCATGGTACGCCTGTACTGCCCTGGGTAGGGCGTGTCCATCACGGCTACGGAAGTTTGATCGTGTGCTCATTACGGCACGATGACCAAACAGGATCAGGAATGCTTGGTTAGCTCAAAAGGCTGATTGCTGTGAGGCTCGAGGCTGAAAGCGGCTGCGGATGATACAGAACATATAGTTCTCATGAACATGTCCGATCTTGATGAAAACGCAGCCTGCAGACACAAATTTTCTTTTAGACGGAAAACAGTCTAAATAGAAAATCCAGCACATGGTTGTGCTACCAGCAAACAAGACTACCACCATGTTCCTTGGCAGTAAAATAATCGGTAAATCTCTGTTGAGACATCAATTCCAAGGAAGGCTACCGCTGTAGCGGCATTCTTAAGGTTGTCTATGATCCACCGAACAGTGAAAGCTTTATGTTGAAGAAGTTCACGGAAGGGTGGATGAATGTCTGTTTCGCCACCCTTCAATCGTGATTGACAGGGTTTTATTTCCAAATTTTGTTTGAAAGGAAAAACGGGAGTTTTTCCTTTTGTTTCCCCCCTTCTCTTGCAACCTGTGTTTTGAAACCAACACTTTTACGCATGCATGTTGCGACAACATCACTTCAACATGTTATGATGATGGCAACTTGCAGCTTTTCCGAATCAAGTCGGAAAAATTTTTGTCTGAGCCTCGAGATCCTTCTGCTGTGGTGCCGCACACCGTTGCCAGGGTTCCCCCGACGGCATAGTGGCTTGAGGGCTTGCTCTCGCTGCAAGGGGAGTGAGCACTGGTAGGTGTGGCAGGCCACCCGGTAGACACGTCTAGGATCTTTCTAAAAGGCCCTGGGTGCTAATCTGGTGCTTCTAGCGAGTGGGGCGGGTCGCTACATGGACTACGAGGGCAGTGAGTCCTCCGTGTCTTTGGCAAGTACCTCAGCGAGCTCTCACTTCAGCAATCTTAGTTTTGATTGCGTCTTTGCATCGGGAGCCGTGTGCAAAGTGCGAGTGACGATTACGCTGTGGAACTTCCTTGATCCTGCTGCTAGATCAGCTCTGCTGGCTTCGAGTGCTTCCACTCGCAGCGATTTCTTGCAGGAAATCCTCTTCGTTGCAATTAGGGCTGGTCTGCAGCCCCTGCCGTGAGCACGGCCTCGCTTCAGGGCCTTGGCTCGTGGGGTCTCTTCGATGGCTGCTGAAGCTTCGGCCTCCGATCTATGTGATCGTTTCGAGCAACACCTCCAGCACTTGACTCATGATGTTGTGGCCCCACTCAGCTATCCGTGGGACAGGAATAAGGCCTTGTCTGCCATTTTCTCAGGAAAACCAGGCAGAAGCGTCGACCTTCATAGCGTCAAGGTGCCAAGAGTCGTGCCGCCGCCAGCCACGCAGTACAGGCGGCCGGGTGATTCAGACGAGCCGCTGCCGGTGGCTCTGCAGTGTACCAAGGTTGTGCCCGTCTTTGAGGCTGTGCTTAAGAAGCCCAGGCTACAGGCAGGCGAGAAGGCCGGTGTCGATCGAGAAAATGTCCTACGTCGGTGGCTCTGTGTTCTGAGTCACTCACCTGGTGCCTCGAGGTTGGGGGTTCTCATTTGGGCGAAAGGCGAATCTGACCCCTTGGGGGTCGTGGCGCAGGCCTTGGCTGGGAAAGCAACATCGACTTTGCTTAAGCGAGCCCGATTTTCTGCACGATTCATTTGTTGGGCCGACAAGCATCATGTGAAGGCTTTCCCGGTGAGCCTCGATTTTCTTGTGAGCTTCCTCAAACCACTTGCAGCCGAAGCCAGGAACAGTGCCATTCGTGAGGCTATGGAAACTGTGAATTTCCTGGAACATGTTCTCGGAATTGAGGTCGAACAAGGAATCAGTGACAACCCTTGGGTCAAGGGTGCGCTGCGGGGAGCCAACATTCGCACCTGTGACCCGAGACGTTCGAGAGTCCTGAAGGTCGAGGAGGTGCTCCTCCTCGAAGGAGCGCTGATAGAGGGAGCCCTTGACAAGGTGGACAGGTACGCTACAGGGGTCTTCTTGTTCCAGCTTTACTCCAGGGCTCGAGTGTCCGATCTGAGGAACATTTCGAAGCTTGAGCTTGACCTTGATGGCGATACGGGTTTCATCGAGGTCAGAACTTATGAGCACAAGAATTGCCGGTTGAGCAGTGGACCGGGGGCCGTGCTCATTTTGGTTGCGCCGTACCATGGGCTCCACCAGAAGCCTTGGGGCGCCGCTTGGGCAGAGGCGGCGAAGGCCGTTGGCTTCGACTTCGAGAAGGGGCATCGCGGGCCGTTGCTCCCCCGCCTGGCCTGCGATTACTCTTGGAGCGGGGATGCCATCGATGCCAACGAGACCACTACATGGATCAGGGCGCTGCTTTCACGGCTGCAAGCGGCCGAAGAAGATCTTACATTCTCCTCGCACGGCTTGAAGGCAACGCCGCTTTCTTGGACCTCGAAGGCTGGATACAGTGAGAGGACGCAACTTGTCCTGGGACACCACAGCTTAGGTCCAAGTGGGAAAACGCAAGAAGCTTACGCTCGCGAAGTGCAGGCGCAGCCGCTACGAGATCTTGCAGAATGTCTTGGTGCCATCCGGCAAGGGGTTTTCCATCCGGATCGCACGAAGAGCGGGATGATTGCAGGAGGTGCGACCATCCGTGAGTCGCGATTCTCTTTGGCACCCTTGGGGCGTGCCAATCTTTCGCCATCTCACGAGAGCTTCGAGTGCGCTCCCGAGGTTGAGCTGGCCGAGGATGGAGGCGTAGAACCTCCTGATGATCAGGACCTGGGTGAACAAGAAGACGTTCACGAAGCCTCGAGCAGCGAGTCTGAGAGTTCCGGTGAGTCCGAGGAGGAGACTCATTATGAGAGTTTTGGAGCAGGCGAAGCGCAGAATGCGATCCCGTCTGTGAACATGGGCCCTGATTTAGACATTTTTCAGAACCCGAAGACCAAGAGCCTTCACTCACGAGCGAAGGGTTCTACTGGCAAGTTGATCTGTGGAAGGTCGCTTGACAATATGAAGCCTTTCAGTGGAAAGGTCTTCAGCAGTAGATGGCTGTGCAAGCAATGCACAGCAGGCCGGCCCCTCCGCGACGCAGGGGCCATGGCGAGTTTCATCGCTAAGAAGCAGGGCGCTTCTAAGTGAGAAATGTCGTGTGACGTGCGATGCTTGCGGATCACCACTTCAGTGTATCGCTGAGCTTCACAGTCATGTCTGATGGACGAGTGGTCAATTGCGCACCGACCCAGAGCATGGTTCGGAGACTCGTCCGGGCAAACAAGGGTTTCAGTGGAACCTTTGGTTTACCTCGTGGCCGCCACGGGGTCCGGACGGGCGGACCAAGCTCGGCGATGCGATGATGACCAGCAGTGAGCTGTCCACATGCAAAGCTTGCAATCACTGTGTGCATGATTGGTCCTTTGCATGTGCGTGTCTCAAGACCAGTTTCTGTGAGTGCACATAGGATCGGAGATCATGGCGCAAACCCTTGTAGAGTCCAAGGCAGTCTTCCTGGAGCGAGCCAAACGTGTGGGCCTCCCTCAGGAAGCAGTGGATCGCCTTGTTGCACAGACCATCGACACGATGGCGAAGCTGGCGTTCGCCCCTTGCCAGCCCGGCGAGACGCCGACCGAGGAGTCGTTGTCGGCCCTCATCAAGGTGGGAGGTGCAGCCCCGCCGTTGGGATCCATCGCAGCGGTTCGACACCTGGTGTTCGAAGCACAGACCCTCTTGGTCAGCCAGACCAAGGCACTCGTTGAGAACAAGGAGAACGAGGTCAAGGAGTTAGCCCCCGCGGAGCGCCGCGAGCGCATCCGAGCACAGGCCAACAAACTTAGAGGCATCACCATGTCTGGCCAGACTGAGTGCAGCTACGCCTCGTATGACCTCTGCATGAAGCTCCTTACTGATAACTGCATCAGCTACCTTTCCCCGGCCAAGTTCATCACTCGTGAAGCTGAGCTGCGTTCCGAGAAACCACGGAAAGAGTTGGATGTGCAGGCTTCAACACTGGTCGTGAGAGATCGTGACCCCGATCAGTCATGCGATACTTCCACTGCACTGAGCCTTCACCATGCCATGCACCGCCGAAGCCTTGCTCTTGACTTGATCGGTGTGACTGATTACTTTAGGATTCAGGGCTTCGTGGATTTCCTCTTGGGCCACCTTCATCAGGAGCCCATTGCTGGCAGCCGTGCCACTTCTGTGCAACAAATTCTGCATGCGGACCGTGCTGCCTGGATGCGCCTGGCAGAGCTTACCCCCGACGGGATTCGTCGAGATGCATCCGGGGCTTTGCCTCTTGACAGCTTGTGGGCCCGCTTGCAGACTGACCCGAAGGTGATTTTTCATCTCCTCCCGCGAGAAGGTGGTGCCCTCAAGCGGGAGAGCACCGAGCTCAAACCTGAGCCCACAGACACCCCGACCAAGAAGCAGCGCAAAGGTACCGGCAAGGGAAAAACCAAGACATTGCGCGAGCCTAGCAATCTTCCAGAAGAACTCAAGGGCCTTTCGTCTTGGACTAAGACCGGAAAGCGCCGCTGCTGGGGATTCAATATGGCTAGTGGGTGTCCTAATGCCAAGGTCGGCCAATCCTGCCCCAGGGGTCTGCACAACTGCATGCGTTGTGGCGGTCACCACCCCGCGCATGCGTGTCCAAAGAAGCCATGAAGCGCATGCCTGCCTGAGCCCGACAGCGTGCCAGCACCGTGTTTTCCATCGCCCAGTGTTTCATTGGATGCTTCACTGAGCGCCTCAACCCCGCAAGCATCGGCCGCTGCTTCCAGCAAATCGCATTGTTTTCCTTCTCGTCCTGCTGAGGCTGCGAGCCCTGTGGAGGGGCCGCTACTTGATGCCGGGCACTCTCTTTGCGGTGCTGATGCTTTCAGGATTGATTCCCTCTTCTGCATTGAAATTTTCTCAGGCTCAGGCAGGCTTACTGCCGAACTTCGACGTGCAGGGTTCCGAGATAGCATCGGAATCGACCATGTTGCCCCAAAGCAAATGATTTCTCCCGTCCTTAAGCTGGACCTCCTTGATCCCGAACATGTAAAGATGGTTCTTGATCTGATCGATTCTCCCTTTTGCCTTTATGTGCACATCGCTCCCCCTTGTGGAACAGCGAGTCGTGCTCGTGAAATTTTTCGTCGCGGTGAAAACCTACCCGCTCCCGCGAGAAGTGATGCCCACCCGGATGGGCTACCAGACCTCACTGGCGAGCTCCGCATTCGCGTTGCTAAGGCCAACGACCTTTATGCCGTCACTGGCAAGATCTTTGCACACTGCATCCGTTCTGGGAAGCTCGTCTCTTGCGAGAATCCAGGCCGCTCTTACTTCTGGCAAACGACCATGTGGCTCACTGCCGTTGCCGACCTGCAGTTTGAGGAAACCCTTTTTCATAACTGCCAACACGGCGGTGAGCGTGCCAAGCTCACCCGCCTAGCCCATAATGTCCCTTTGCTACACGAGCTATCCCTTCTCTGCCCGGGGGAATCAACATCTCATCGCCACCTGCCCTGGTCGCGATCCTCAGGTGCCTTCGACACAGCCGCCGACAAGGTCTACCCTCGTGTGCTCTGCCAACGTTTGGCCGACATCATTGTCCGTGCTGCCGCCGAACGTGGCCACCCTGCACCCGCTTCATACCTTGCGCCTGGTGCTGCCCTTCCCCTGCGTGAGTCTCAGGTTGCAGCTGGTGTGCAACCTCGCAGCAAGCGCGTGCCACCCCTTGTGCCCGAGTTTCGGCAGATTGTGGTTCTTCTTAGTCCTGAACCCCTCTTTCCCGGCGTGCGTAAGTTGGAAGCCGATACCCCCCTTCCACCTTGTGTCTCATGCTCGCCCTCACTGCCGACGCTTCCCGCGGGCACTCGGATCCTGCGCCAGAGTGTCATTGGGGTTGTGCCAGCTGGAGCGCAGGAATCGTGCTCAAGTAACTCAGCCGCCTCATCCACACCTGTGTCGCATCCCACAGTTGCCCCTAATGCCGAGGCGGAGGATGATGGAAACTCAGCCATCATGGAGGACGACCAGATGGACCCCGAAGCTTTCTCGCATTATGCTCTCCACTTGGGAGCGTCAGCCAGCAACGAAGCATGGCGCGACTGCATTTGCCACTTGTGTGAGCTACTTGTCTCGGATACCCCGTCTAGGGGCGGACGAGGCACTGATGAATTCTCCTGGTCATGTGGTGCCTTCTTTCATGCAAACAAGGTGGGCCTGCGTTCCAACACCTCATCGCACCCCAGTGTGAGCAAACTCTTGTGCGAGTATGTGCGCCGGGTTGCCCCGGGCCATCCTTTCACTTCCCTGATGCTGGGCAAGAACCTCGCAGGCAAGGTGCATACCGATAGAAACAACGAGCCAGGACTACCGAATGCGGTCTTGAAGATTTCCTCCTTCGAGCAAGGGGGAGTGTGGATCGAATCACCTAGTGGCTCCGTCGCTTGTCCTGATCCTGGCCACCCCGAGCTTTTGGGAAATGTTCTTGACTTCGAGGGCCGACGAATAATCTTTGATCCGAGTGGTAGGCACTGTCAAGCTCCATGGTGTGGGGGACCCAGGATCACGCTTGTTGCCTATGCGATACGCGATCACCACAAACTTCTTGACGATCAGAAGAGAAAGCTTGAAGACCTTGGTTTCGGCCTCCCTGGAAGCTCCCCAGAGTGCTGCCCAACAGCCGGTCCCGAGGCAGCCACCCGTAAGTCTGGTTTAGGCCCCAGCTCCTTGACTAAGCCACCACCTGGGATCCCGTCCTGCAGCAAGCCAGAAGGTGGCCGTATGCACAAGGTGGCCGTAGGCATCCCTTGGAAACCTCAGGAGTTCATTGAGCAAGCACTGAAAGCTGGGCACCCCCGTCACCTCTTGGACGGTGTGCCATCACATTCCAAGGCGGCCATCGACCGTCTTGCTGACATGTCGCTTCATGAGATAGGAGCCCAACGCACCGAGAGGCTCCGGCATTGGATCAGCAAGGCCCGTGAGCTGGAGGCCGAGGAAGAGGAGTTGCGTGACTCAATGCCGCAACATTGCAAACGTGTCCTGGGGCGGAAGCGGCTGGTCCTTTTTAGGACCATGCTCGAGGAGTGTGGCCACGAGGACCTAGAGATAGCGAATGACATCGCCAAGGGTTTTGACCTCAGTGGTGCGATCCCGAGGAATCCTGCATATCGCCCCAAGCTGTCACCTGCTTCCTTATCCGTATCTGATCTCCGGAGCTCTGCGGCTGTGATGAGGGAAGCAACTCTTCTCGCCACCAAAAGTTCCGGGGACCCCGAACTTGATGAGGCCCTCATGGCGGCCACTGACAAGGAGGTCGCCAAGGGGTGGTTACGAGGACCCATCGATCCTGCTTCGCTAGGTCCTAATGCTGTCCTCTCGCGCCGCTTCGGCGTTTGGCAGGGCGGCAAGTGTAGGCCTATAGATGACTTCAAGGCCTCTGGGGTTAACTCAACGACTTCAGCCGAAGACTCGGTGACTGTGCACACGGCGGATGCAATCGCCGCTTCCATTGCCTACCGTCTCAAGCGCGACCCAAAGTGCCGACGGCACGGCGGGCTCGAGATGAAATCTTATGACTTACACAAGGCGTATAAGAATCTTCCTTTGAGCACTTCGGCGGTGGAGGAAGCTTATCTCTCGGTGTACAACCCCCGGTCGGGGAAAGCGGAGATCTACGAGCAGTGCGTGTTGCCCTTCGGCGCTCGTGCGTCGGTCCACTCGTTCTGCAGAACTTCACTTGGCATCTGGACGATTGGGGCGATTCAGCTGGCTTTGATGTGGTCAGTGTATTACGACGACTTTGTCGGCAACGAAGTCCCGCCACTTACACGGCTCTTCGACCTTTGTGCTGAATCGCTCTTTCAGATCCTTGGCTGGGACACGTCTCCAGACAAGCCTACCATCTTCGGAGGCGTGGCAAAAGTCTTAGGCCTGGAGTTTGACTTGCGCGAATCCTACCTCGGCAACTTCTACATGAGGAATACTACGACTCGACGCGATGAGCTGAGAGAAAGTCTTTCTTCTATCATCGAAAAAGGAGTGCTGGCTAGGAAAGACTGCGAGAGGCTGAGGGGCCGCCTGCAGTTTGCCGCCAACCAGATCGCGGGAAAGAAAGCTGGCATCGCATTCAAGACCCTGTCCAAACATCTTGCAGAGCGAAGCCCCAACATCGGAGACAACTTGAGGGCTGCACTTCTGTTCCTGAGGGACAGTTTTCTTGAAGGGCCCCCGAGGGCTCTGAGTGCCAACGTCTTGCATCTTTGGCATGTGTATGTGGATGCTTCTTGCGACAACGATCGCATCGGTCTCGGTGGAGTTCTCATATCGGACAATGGGACGAAAGTTGGACACTTCAGCGAGTGGGCTTCTTCTGAGCTGCGACATCTTGTTGGTCCCGAGAGCAAGAACCCAATCTTCGAATGCGAATGTTTGGCCGTACTTATGTGCATACACGTTTGGAGAGGACTCCTTAAAGGATGCAACCTCGTCGTCTTCTCGGACAATGAAGGCACTCGTGCCTGCATGATCAAAGGGGCATCCGACAACTCTGTCGGGATGCACATTGTGGATGCCACCCACGATGCCATCGATGCAGTGTGCTGCATACCATGGTTCGAAAGAGTCAATACCGCGTCTAACATCGCAGATGACCCTTCTCGTGGAATTTCAGATGAAAGCCTTGGTCGGCGATTCGAAGTGGATGCGCTGAGCATCGCAAAGTCTGCGTTGGTTCCGTGGGGATGAGTCAATCGCTGACTATCCGATGTGTGCATTGCGAATGCACTGTGCATGATGTACTTCTGTACATCATGCGGAGCATCATGGATGCTCGGGGGGACCATCTCACTTCGTCTCGACTTCTCGGAATTCCCCGAGCGACGGCTTTCGCCAGACTTTTAAAAAGAGTGTGTGCCGAGCGTCTTGTCAATCCTTTTTATATTCCATTGGCAACACATACATTGATTGAGATTCCGAATCTATTTTGATTCGAATATATTTCGCTACAGAAATATATTGTATCCTGGTGGGAACATACTGAAACAGAATTTGGAAATAAGCCACCCTTCAATCGTGATTGACAGGGTTTTATTTCCAAATTTTGTTTGAAAGGAAAAACGGGAGTTTTTCCTTTTGTTTCCCCCCTTCTCTTGCAACCTGTGTTTTGAAACCAACACTTTTACGCATGCTTGTTGCGACAACATCACTTCAACATGTTATGATGATGGCAACTTGCAGCTTTTCCGAATCAAGTCGGAAAAATTTTTGTCCCGCCCGCCCTCCCCGGGGATGAGTCAATCGCTGACTATCCGATGTGTGCATTGCGAATGCACTGTGCATGATGTACTTCTGTACATCATGCGGAGCATCATGGATGCTCGGGGGGACCATCTCACTTCGTCTCGACTTCTCGGAATTCCCCGAGCGACGGCTTTCGCCAGACTTTTAAAAAGAGTGTGTGCCGAGCGTCTTGTCAATCCTTTTTATATTCCATTGGCAACACATACATTGATTGAGATTCCGAATCTATTTTGATTCGAATATATTTCGCTACAGAAATATATTGTATCCTGGTGGGAACATACTGAAACAGAATTTGGAAATAATGGTAAATTTCCTGTTTCCAGAGCCTTGATAAGCTCATCAGGTTGCGCCGAATGCTTTGTTAATGCATCAGCTAGGCAGTACTTCGAGCTTACATGAGCTAGGTCATCTAAAGATCCAGAGTTGGATTCCTTACGAAGCATCTGTATAAGATGGTGAGTTTCCTTCTGCTCTGGAAGGTGTGTCGTGCCTGCTGTTGTCACAAGATTGTTCGCATCTGTTCTGATATGTATAGGTACGGTCTCTGATGAGAGATCTGCCCAAAGTCCCTTGAGGAACAGGCAGGTACCAAAGCAACGCATCAGTGCGTTAAGCTCTGCCACTGTTGTGGACATTGTGGTTGTCGTAATCTTGTGAGACTCATAATCCACCAGGCTACCTCTCGAGGATGTTTCCTTAATAGAGGATTCAGAGAAATCGTTCTTCTTGGAAGAAGCAGCTGCTGCTGATTGTTTCATTCCCTTTAGCTTTGGATTTCGATCTTCAGCAAGGAAAATAACATGTGCTCTCTGAGATGATTTGTCATCATTGTTCCTGTAGGAAGCATCAGGGTAACCGAGGATTCTGAGATTTCCTTTCAGCGGCCAAAAACGCAATTCTACTTCGGTAGACTTCAAAATCCTAACAAGCTTGTTCAATTCTCGAATATCACCGATAGTAGGCTTGGCAGCCTTGCTCGCACACCGACTGAAGCGATAACAGATGTGAGCTTGAGTCCGGCTTTGTAGCCAGTTGATCTGTCCTAAAACACTTCTATAAGCAGTGTGCTGCTGTGGTGTGCATTGTTGCTCATTGTTGAGCTTCTTATCAAAAACAATTTCTTCTAGAGCTTCAACAGCTAGGTTCTGATTTACTGAGATATGTGCTGGCACTGATGCTGTAGCATCCTTCCAGACTAATCTCTGTCCTACAAACATGATATCATTCGTGTCTTCAGAACCTACTGCAAACTCCTTTTTGATCGAGTCAATCACGGCCTTACGAAAGGTGTCATCACCGGCCATGCACAGGTCATCTACATGCAAACAGACTACTCCATGTACCTGTCTACCCTTGGCATTGTTGCCTGCTATGGGATCTAGGAGATAGTCAATCGCTGATTCCATGGTCTTTGGCTGAGACTTCTTGAGCTCAGCGTCTGCTGTTGCAGACTTCTTACCATACAAAACATATGTACAGCGATCCGCGCGGGTTGGCACCAGGCCATAAGACAAGAGTGCCTTATCAACGATGTTCCACCATCTTCGAGGTGCATCGTTGAGTCCATAAGCGGGTTTCTTCATCCTCGCTGCAATGTAGGGAGGATAACCTGCTTCAGGAGGAATCTGACAGATTATGTCTCTCGACTCATCATAGGCTTCACCCTGCAGGAAAGCAGTCTTTAGGTCGATGTGTGTCAGATTCCACAGCTTGTTAGCTGCTAGTTGAATCGCTAAGCGGAAACCTGGGCGACTCGCAGCAGGACTATCAGTTTGCTGAATGTCCTTCTGTCGATCCTGGAAACCTCTCAGGACCCATCGGGCCTTGCACTTAAGGAAGTTTCCGTCCTTGTCTCTTTTTAGAGTCAGGACCCATCGACCAGTGACATAATTTCGGATGTTTCCGAGTTTCCGTGTATCGACGAGCTCAAAGACATCATTGTCTAGCCAGCTCTGATATTCTGCTGCTTTCGCTTCATCAAACTGTTTCTTCATCTCACGCTTTTCCTTGGCGGTTGCCTCCTTCCGTTGTGCCTTCTGGGTCAGATTCGCTGAGTTCCTGGGGGAACTTAGGGATAAGGCCTTGTCCTCTTCCGTGAGAAGATCGTACTCTTCACGAATGTCAGATCGGAACCTTTTGGTGGGTTTATACCGTGTTCGGTCTGACCTCACTCTTGATGTTACCTCTCTGATGTCTACGGGTCCGCCATGCATGTACCGAGGCATGGAGAAAGAACCTGTGTTACTGCACAGTTTCTGTTCTTCTGTGAGAAGGACCCAGTCCTTCTCATCTACGACCAGGTCACCTTCCTCATCAGAGTAATACCTTGTGTTTTCTGACTCGGCATCGCTCTCCGGTTCTGGTGAACCAGAAGTGTGAGGAGGAGCGGACGGTTGTCCGGGGTCGTCTGGGACCAGTTCTTCTTCAGTGTCTTCTTCATCTTGTTGTAACGGAAGAATGGGTCCCTGTGGATGTGCCTTCGGTTTAGGTTTTGGTGTCGGCACCTGTGAAGGTGATTTCTGTTTGTGCGGCGAAACTTTCCTTTCCGATGAAGACCTTGGCGACACATCACCCCCCAGACGCCGAGGAGACGGAACGCGAGGAGGCGGATGCACGCGAGGCTTAGCCCGAGCAGGAGCCACGGGCTCATCGGAGGAAACGGCCGGTAGTCGCGGTGGAGGTATGGGAGGAGGAGGACGCGACGGCGGTGTGCCGGGAGGCATCGGCTGATCTGGTTCCGGCATAGAGACATCGTCAGATGTGATCCGTGAGCGATTAGTGCTCATTGGTTCTGACGGGTCTGACGGCGAAACCTCTTCGTCCGACATGATTACATCCGGCGGTGTTCGCACGGACGGTGAAGTCTTGCCGCCTGTCATCTGGAATAGCACCCCCGAGAAGGTTGATGGGTGTACCTTGTTCCAGGAAACCTGGTGCGGCAAGCAACACGTCATAGTCGAATTGGGCTTCTTCTTGTTCCAAAAGACAAGAACGCCATCAGTTACACTGGTGAGTGCTTTGACTGTTCCAAATGTACCTCTGTATAGAGTACACTGTTCGAAACCAGACCCTGGTAAGAGTCTTGATCTAAGGCGAGTAATGTCTGACACCAAGGCATCAAGGGACGGTGATGGTTTGGAATGATGCAATGGTAATTCAGTTTTACTCGATAAGGAATTTACTCTAGCAACAAGTGATCTGATTTTCGGATCTTGCAGGAGTTTTGAATCCTTGAGAGGATTTGTTGTCAAAAGTGAATACTCCTGATCAAGAAGTTCCGAAAGTCCCTGGAGGCATTCATCTCCAGAGTATTCTAGTATGTCTGTGACCAAAGACAGATGAGATGCATACGCATCTCGTTTCAGGAATCTTGCCAAACACGAGGCAAAGGTCTCACAGAATTCATAAGGATACACTTGTGCGAGTTTCGTTTTAAGACCGTAGCCTTGAATACCCTTTTCGTCTCCTGGTGGAGATGTTGGAGATTTCGTTTTGGCAGAATGCCTCTGGAGAGGAATTAAAACTTGCGGTGGCAAGTTGTGCATAAAAATCGAGGATTTCGATTCATAGTATCCTGTTGGATCTTTCATGCCATAGGCCTGTAGGTTACAGACCTCATAGCTGATCTTATGATTAGAAAACAGGCGTTTTGCTTCTGGTGAAGACCAGAGCCTGCTGTAGTATGGGTTCTCAAGAACAAAGTAACGTCCGAGCTTCATTTGGTGGTCTGCGACCGATTCACAGAATTTTAAAACAGAAAGTCTCTTGGCAGAGCCTTTCTTCCACTGTGAGTACCAGCTAGACCACTGAGAATGGTCCGGTGACATAACAATAATAGTAGGTTCTTGTTCCTTGATGATCCTAAGAAGATTGGAGCGACCTTGCGGTTGCTCAAGATCTAGACCGCTACGCAAATCGACTGGCTGACCTACTCGCAGACCTGACAGGGCAGCTTTGTGACTCATGCGGGGAGATCCGCCGTAGAGTTCTAGGAAGTCAATCTTCCCAGTGCTGGTGACCTGCCAGTGACACTCTTGATGTGGAACCGTTAGGTCTGTCGACTGCAGGGAAGCATCAAAGGTGACCATGCAACTTGCGTGGTCAGAACCTTCTGACGTCAGAGTTTCCTCATCAGGCGCGAGAGGAATCTCCACATCAGATGTTATGTCATAATTTTTCCTCAGTTTTGAGATATTGACGCGGACGATGCGTGTTCCAAGATCCACACCTACCATGGATCCTCCGAGTTCGGAGATCACCTTTCCTTTTAGCCAAGATCCATGTTTGGACCCAGTGGATCCAATCTTAGACTTATCTTCTGACCAGTAGAAAACCTTATCTCCCAAAGAGAAAGGTCCTTGGGTCATTGACAGTCTGGCTGCAAGATCTCTACGCAGATCATCAGATTGGCGTGCCTCTTGGTAAGCCCTGTTGGCAAGCTC